CCATCCCTGTAACTGGTTGTGAAGGCCCATAAGGATGTGAGATGTTGAGGGTCCCACATTATCTAGACAATCAGCTCAAAGATGGCGGTAAGGTTGTCAGCCTTACGCGCCGGCTGTGCTTTACTCCCCAGGAGAATTATTTAATTAATTCCTGGTACTCATTTCTGTTAAGAGGCTGAGTCAACCCCAGGGCCATAGTGTGGCTGGAAGGATTAGGTCAATTGAAAAAAATCCAATTCATCGGGACTCGAACCTCAACTACACTACCATGTACCCCATGTCATTTCATTTTTGGTTACTAACATATTATAACTTGCACAGCATTGCAATATTTCAACAGAATACAATCTATGCCTAAAGAACTGAGTTTCAAAAATTAACAATGCTAAGACAAGAAGTGGAACTGATCTTATGGAAAGTTTTGTAAGAGACCAGGGCATATTTATTTGTATATTTAAGGGGAACTTAAAGTTTTTAATCTGTTAAAGGGATGTTCTCAGATTTATATTTTTGAATAATATTAATAATAATAATATTAATAATAATAATAATAATAGAATAAAAGCCAATTCCAGTTAACCAAGTGTTATTAAAGTACGGTTGTGCTTTTAGTTTTCTCAGACAGTCAGAGGGTCAACACATGCTGAGAGTAATCATCTGTTCATTGCCATCACATTCCACTTTAGGGATTCATTCATTTATTTTTCGTTCCATGGATCCACAATACAAGTGAGATATAGGACATGTCCGTACAGTGATTATTCTTAAAATTAATAGAGCAGGAACTAAGTATATAAATAAAAAAAAAGGTTAAAATACAAATACAAAAACAGAAACAAAACATGCAGAATCAAATAGATTCCAGTCATATAAGTTAATTTTGATGAAACATGCAGTTTAAATTTAGACAATGTCAGTTTGAACATATCACAGAAATTGCTTAAATGACTAGAATAATACTAATAAANACTAGAATAATAGAATAATGACTAGAATAATACTAATAAAAGACTGGATGATCAACAGGTGATTCTAGTGAATGCATAATCATTAACTTATAATGACTTATATTGGAAATATTCTTCCACAGAATAAAAATGATGAAGATAAAGAAAACGCTTTAAACAAATTTTGAACTTCTTAGGGTTGAGTGACTCTTCTTTTATATAAGAAGGAAGATTATTATAAATTTTTATGCCCATATAATACACTCCCTTTTGATATACCGTAAAATTTGCTATGGGTTGATAGAAATTTGTAATATGTCTTGTATTTATATTATGATTTAGTGAATTTGGAATAAAGAGACTTTTATTATTAACCACAAAGAGCATGAGTGAAAAAATATACTGTGAAGCCAAAGGCAAAATTTCCAGTTTCCGAAAGAGATCTCTACGTGAAACTCTACTATTACAGCCGATCATAATTCTAATTATCTTCTTCTGTATTCTAAATACTTTTATACTATGAGGCGAGACTCCCCAAAAGCATAGACCATNTTTTGGTTTTAAACTGAATACTATGAGTTTTATTAATATTTATTGAAAGCAAATTTGTCCTAAACCAATTATATAAATGATTAAAAACATCAATCATATTAATATGGAGATTTTCTGAATTTGAACCTTCAATTAATTATTAATTAATTAATTTTTAATTAATTAATTAAAAACTGCTCAAGCCACCAACTCAGTTACGCTCTTAAAGTCGAACTGAGTAAGTGTCAGTAACCCCGGTACTCATTAAACAGCAGGCTGGGTGGACTGTCTGGACCAGTTCGGGCATACTTACGAAGAGAAAAATATCTTCCCGTCAAGAATTGAACCCCGATTCTCTGGCCGTTCAGCAGGGCGTCTAGTCACTTTTGCGACACCTCAACCTGGTACACCATACTGAAAAACCGCCTAATGAAATTACAAATTAAGTTGGTGATCGACTTCTACACAATCCTTTTTTCTTTCCACTTGTGCTCAACTTCTCAATGAACACTTTGTCTTGATTGTCTCTCCTACGGATAATTACATAGTTTATGTATCTACTACAACTGTATCAGTGTTTCTATTATTGTCAAAGTCACATTGCAACTGATGGTCAGTCAGTCAGTAAGTCTTGGTGTCGAGCGCCATCTGGGGCTCATGACCAGATATTATTACCATTTGACAGTTACGGGCTTGTTTCTGTGGGGCGCCTTCTCTGACGAGCGGACGGGTCTGTCTTTTGTATATGCTGCTGGCCCTTGCCAGCGCAGTCTTACTCGGGTCCGAGGACTGCTGTGCTGTTGGGCAATTGATCTAAGTGGAAGTTGGATTTGTCACGTTCCCGCGCAATTCTGGTTGGCTTGGTGTCCGAGAGGAGAAGGCTTGCCAGAAGGGATTTGCCTGTGTTCGTTGGCCCCTCGAGGACGAAAGTGTTTATCTTTGTCACGTTGGCTGAATGGATGAGGAGAAATTTTGAGAAGAAGTCGTCGATGTTGATGTTGTGATGTTGATGTTGTTGGACCTGAATATAGATGATAACCAAGAGACACTGGGCTGCTTGTATGATGGGAGATCAAAGTTGTCGAGGATGAGTTGATAATAATGTTTGGTTTTGATTTTTTGGAGGGATTCTATTGTGTGTATCTTCATTAAAATTTTGATGAAATTTTGTCTGACGTAGCCTAGTTGTTTTAGGAGTTGGATTTTTGTTTCTGTTGGAAGTGTTCTTTGAAACACCTCAGAGGAAGTTATTTTGTGGGTGGTGATCAGCTGAGAGATATAGTCAATGGAAAATGTTCTTTGTGTGATTGTCTCTTTGTTCAGTACCTCCTTGTCTTCGATGTATAGTTCAAATCGTAGGCCGGAGGCAGCGGGCAGGTCCGTGGTGTTGTAGTGGATCAGGGTGTCAGTCAGTGGCTTGATGATGGAGATAATTCTAGCTCCATATTTATGGAATGTTGAGAGACCCTTGCGAATGAGATATGAAATGAATCTTGCTGGGAAGCGGACGAGTTGAAGTGTTGTATGAGCCTCTGTAGTTCCCTCAGAGCTGGCTTTAAGGAAGTGAAGGATGGAGTTGAGGTGGCGGGAGGCGTTGTTGGTGTGGCGGACTGAAAAGATGAAGTGGATGTGGTCTCCGTGGTCGTAGGCAGCGAAGGTTGGGGCTTTTTTGGTTGTTGGGGGGAGGACGTTGAAGGTAGGTTTATGGAGGATGAAGGTGTATGTAAGGTTGTGGGGTGTGCCTCCGTCCGTATCATCGTTTCCAGTTGTGTTTCCAATATTGGTGGTCGATGATGTTGAAACAACAGGATCATTTCGGTGTTGAATATGGCCATCGTCGATTGATTTTCTGTCTGAATGTGAGCCTTGTTCGTTTTGGTTTCCAGGAGAGCTGTTAACATCTCTCCTTCTGTATTTGTCGCGTACGCCATCAGGGGAGCCTTTTCGTTTTCCTCCTGAATGACGAGGGTGGTCGGTGTTGAGGACAGGAGACAAAGGAATGTCATGAAGATGTTTTGGCGGACTAGGCAGCTGGATGTGTTCATGAGGCACAGAAGGAGGGATTGTTCCATCTGAGTGTCCGGGATCTCGAACAGTTGGATGTGGGATGCTAGGCGAGAGAGTGGCTCGGGGGCTGTTACAATTTGGTGATGCTCGTTGATATAGTCCGAGAAGTCCCGGAGCTGTTGGGGCGTTGCCCGTTGGCGAGCATTGGAGAACAGCATGTATCTCCTCGGTGGGAGATGGATGGTCTTTACTGTTGGCGTTGTGAATGACGGCCAGTCCGTTTTGTGTTTGGCCTGATGCGTCCATGTTAGGCTCATTTGACAGAGTATTTGGACTTACCCAAACAGTGCCAGTTGTAGGTGTGGGTGGTTGTTGGTTCGAGTCTTGGTCCTCTTCCTGGTCCCACTCTTCTGGTAGGCCGAATGTGTTGCCGGACTGTAGTTGCTGCTAAATGTAGGCTGCACAAAGGTCTTTTACTGGGCACTGAGCAGGGTGCTCCCAGCACAAGTAGCAAGCGCAGACTGAAGTGTAGTGGCAGCAAATTGTGTGATAAACCATTGTGACTGCAGATGTGATGTTGGATGAGGTTTTATATGGCAATGGATGTTGGTGGGGATATTGTTATCGTTGTTGTAATTTTAGTTGGGTTTATCACCATCATAACATGAAGTGAGGTCAGGCTATCATACCAAAAGTGCCGTTCTAAGTGTCTTGCATCTTTGTATCCACATCCGCAGCACAATATGTAACGTGCTCTATCTTATCGTACATTCGCTTTATGCCGAGCTGTTTATTACCCTTTGTACTTTGTGACCTTGAATCTCTAAGATGGTGAAACGAGGATAACCAGAAAAGTTCTGTCAATGGTGTCTCAGAATTGAGACTTCCCTTTTCGTCGCCTCCTACGACTCGCAGGGTCACGGTGGAGGTATTCGACCCCGCCTCCACACGGGGTTTCTATTATTGTACAGGACTGCACTAATTTATAGTTTTTAGTGTTTTCATTTGTCCTTGTATGGGTTAGGAATGTATACTTTATTATCTTATGTTCAAACATGGTTATGAATGTGTATTTTATTATTTTATGTTTTAAACATGACAGATTCTATATCCAACAGGTTGGTTTGACTTTATATGGATTGACAGAATGCAATAAATAAAGTAAAGTAAGGTAAAGTAACCTCAAAGACGAGATAACGGATCAGTAACTCTTGGAATCATCTGCAATTTTTAACGGACAGAAACTTCCCCTTACACATCCTACATAAAATCTACATCGTCACACAGTGTGGTTAAGAAACCCGTGATAAAATGTTTATCCATACTGTACTTTAAAATCTGTTTTCGTGCTTATGATTTATAAACAAACCCTATGGCCCAATTCTACTTATTTTTCTTCTTACCCCAAGTGGCACGTAATGCATTCTGGTGGCCACTGCTGAAATTTCGAATGCATGTCGCTTCTTTTTATTTCAGTATTCACGTCACAGATGATAAGAGCCGCTGGAAGTCAGTTCTTGAGGGATGGAGGTGATACAAATTAAAAGTTTTCACCTTCCCGAGAAAGACGAAGTATACATGAAAGTCGAAGAGAAATACTTACAATAGCTATTATTGTTTTAAAATAAAATACTCAACATGTCACACGTAAGTATACCGTTAGTACAGAGCGAAACGGAATAGTCATAATGAGAGTTAATGTAGGGATTTTTCCTCTTTCGGAAGAACGCGGGCAAATTTTGGTATATGAATTTGTTTAGGTTGATGTTTTACTAAAGTTCCAATACATTAACAGAATTCTCAATTTATTCTCTGCAGGATATACGGTCGTATTTTCCACCTAAGGCTGGAAGTGAGGCGAAAGGTAAATGTAAAGAAATGAAAGTTAATGTGGAACGCCGACATCGAAAGAGGCAATTGGTTTGCATAGATTCGGATTCCGATGAGGATATTTTACCGTCGCAGGTGAAGAAACACGAAAGAAAGAGCGGAATTTCAGGTTAGTGTTATTATGCTTGTGAATTGTCTAGGAGAGGAAGGATTTTGGTAGGCCTGGTGAACGAACTGTTGTAAAACCAAAACTTATTCCTTAACAAACCCTTAAGAGCGTGGTCATCCTCAAATCAGTCTCGTGCTTTTGTTATATATATATATATATGCATTCAAGCATTCCTACATAGTGGGATTTGAGGTTCAAACAGGGGTGACATGAAGATTACTATCTTCTGGGATTAACACCTTGTAGTCCAGTAGAAGTTTACTGATGTTTCAGAAGAATGTACTGCCTTCGTCATTAGGGTTGAAGAGTAAGCCAAGAAAGTAACCAGCAAGAAGCAGGTGGTAAGCTGACCATAGTTGTCAGCCTTGCCCCAGCCTACACAATTGTATATCCAAGAAGATAGTACTTTTTTCCATAATTTGCATGGAAATATTGCTGAAAATTGTGTTTTTTTTAAGTATTTTCAGCACTCTTGTCACATCAATCTGAATTTCATTATTCATTCCATATAAAATTAAAATAATGCTAGTGTCACATGTCCACGGTTCCATGACTAATAATAATGTATTCTGGCTTGGATTTATTAATACCTTATACAATCACCTCATACTTACAAGCAATACAGCACTGTCACTGATTCACACATTTTACGGTTCACCATTACACACACACTAGGATTCTCAGTCGTCATTAGCCATTTCCTACTAAGTGAATTAAAAGAATCTGACTGTGATGAAATCTTCTAATCACACACTGAGTCTTCATGGGCTGATTTCTAATTCTTCAACTACAAACTTCCCATGTCCCATGGCTATCTCCTACCAACAGCTGATTGTTTCTTCTAATTGTCTCCTTTATAAAGTCGCAGCACAGAAAAAAACAGTTCTGCTACTGTTGTAGAGGCATGTTAATTAGAGTCAGTCAGAGTTACTTTGCGACTGGAGGTTTTACTGCCAATCAGTTCGTCTTGGCATCAGGCCCCTTGAGGCCCATGATCAGAGATGCAATGGGATGCTGAAATACAGAACCTATAATATTTATTTTGTTACATATATCTTCTTTATTTGATGACATCATATATATCTCAAACAGAAATAATTCTTCAATAACAGTTTGCAGTTGACTCTCTCCTAGCCAGTTTGAACATCTGTGGAGTGTACAGTTCTGGAGCATACCAGATTAAAATAGAAATCTATACTCTTTCTTTTCTATTAGAGTACTCCAAATTGTGATGCACTTCACACACACAAACACATGTTGGCATGCACACACGCTTGCGCGCACATGGAAACACCCCTACCTCCCTCCTGATTTCCTCTTATGCCCAGTGGTGAATTGAATTGAATTTATTTACATTCTATAAATCCTAAGCAGGTTAGTACCTTTGGATACAGAACATGTCAAAAGGTTACATACATAAGTACAGGCAATTTTAGCTTAAAAATTAATATAACTTAATTTTACATCATTCTCTATTTACATTGAAGTATTCATCTAAAGAGTAGAAGGAATGAGCATGTAGATAATTCTTTAACTCTGATTTAAACTTTTTAGTATCATTGCCCAAGTTTTTAATACTTTGTGGCAGATTGTTGAACACTTTTATGCCAGTAAAGTAGACTCCTTTTTGATATACTGATAAAGTTGATGAGGGTAGGTGGAAGTTATATTTTTGTCTAGTATTCATGTTATAGACATCAGAATTTAATTTGAATTTATCTTTGTTGTAAACAACAAATAAGAGAAGCGATAATATGTATTGCGATTGAAGAGGTAGAATTTTTAATTTCTTAAATAATTCTCTACATGAATCTCTACTTCTACATCCTGTAATGATTCTAATTATATTCTTTTGTATTTTAAAAATTATTACACTATGTGAAGAGTTCCCCCAAAATATTAATCCATAGTTCATAATAGAATGAAAGTAGGCATGGTAAACCATCTTCAATGTTTCCTGTGACATAAAAGGCTTAATTGATCTCATCGCATAGCAAGCTGCATTTAATTTAGGTATAATTTGTTCAATATGTATTTTCCAAGACAGTGTACTGTCTACATGTATTCCAAGGAATTTTGTATCAAGTACTTTACAGATTAATTTGTTGGCATAACTGATGTCCAGATCAATTTGGTGGTTGTTTTTAGTTGTGAATGATATGTAATGGGTTTTATCAAAATTTAATGAGAGTAAATTGGCTTCGAACCATCTGTTTAAGGCTTCAAATACAATATTTATGTCATTTTTAAAGTTTTCAAATTTAGAGTTCTTAAATATTATACTAGTGTCATCTGCATATAGAATTGGTTTAGATTTATTGTTGATGGTTTTAGATAGATCATTTATGTAGAGAAGAAAAAGTAAGGGACCTAAAATTGATCCTTGTGGAACACCGTGCTTTATAATTCCCCAGTTTGAAAATGCATTATGACTGGAGTTTTTATTATTTATTTCAACTCTTTGATACCTGTTTTTGAGGTATGATTTGATCCATTCATTAGCTTTGCCAGTTATTCCATAGAAATTTAATTTCGATAGTAAGATATCATGATTAACACAATCGAAAGCTTTTGCTAGATCACAGAAAATCCCTCCCACAATTAATCTGTCATTGAGAGCACTTAAAATATCGTTAGTTAGTTCATAGGTTGCTTTTTCTGTTGTTAGGTCTTTCCTAAATCCAAATTGCTCTTTGACTAATATGTTGTTAGAATTTAAGTGTTCAAGTAGTCTATTATACATAACTTTTTCAAAGACTTTTGAGAATGAAGTCAATATGGATATTGGTCTGTAATTAGAGATGCATTTTCTCTCTCCTTTTTTAAAAAGTGGTTTCATTACAGCGTATTTTAAGCGTTGAGGAAAAGTACCTGATGATAAAGATTTATTACATAGATGATTCAAGGGTGAACTGATGTAAACAGAGCTTGCTTTAAGTAATTTGGTAGAGATTTCATCATATCCATGTGAATTTTTGGGCTTAAGGGATTTAATAATGTTTTCAATTTCCTTCCTTGTTGAGAATTTGAGATTTATATTTGGAAATGAATTGTTAAAGGCACGTGACAGATAGTATATTGGATTATTATTATTATTATTATTATTATTATTATTATTATTATTATTATTATTATTATTATTATTATTATTATTATTATTATTATTATTATTATTATTATTATTATTATTATTATTATTATTATTATTATTATTATTATTATTATTATTATTATTATTATTATTATTATTATTATTATTATTATTATTATTATTATTATTATTATTATTATTATTATTATTATTATTATTATTATTATTATTATTATTATTATTATTATTATTATTATTATTATTATTATTATTATTATTATTATTATTATTATTATTATTATTATTATTATTATTATTATTATTATTATTATTATTATTATTATTATTATTATTATTATTATTATTATTATTATTATTATTATTATTATTATTATTATTATTATTATTATTATTATTATTATTATTATTATTATTATTATTATTATTATTATTATTATTATTATTATTATTATTATTATTATTATTATTATTATTATTATTATTATTATTATTATTATTATTATTATTATTATTATTATTATTATTATTATTATTATTGGAATATGTTTTCTCAGCTAATGAAAGGAAATATTCATTAAATGCACTTGCGATAGCTTGTGGATTGTTAGTGGACTTCCCTTCAATATTCAAACTTTGTACGTCTTCATTAACAGATTTCTTTCCTGATTCAACTTTCACAATATCCCAGGTGGTTTTAATTTTATTGTTTGATTTTAGAATTTGGCTGTTATAGTTATTCTGTTTGGCTTCTTTAATGACTTTTGACAAAATTTTACAGTACATTTTGTAGTGACTTTTTAGTCTTGGATCATTACTGTCCCTACTGGCCAAATATAGTTGTCTTTTGTGTTTACATGAAGTTTTTATTCCAATTGTTATCCAGGTGGATTTGTTTTTATTTTCATTTTTGACTATTTTTAAGGGAAAGCTTGAATAAAAGATCCTCAAGTATGTGTTCAGAAAGCAATTAAATTTAGAATCAATATTATTGCTGTCAAATACATTGTCCCATGATTCATTACTTAATTTTGTGACAAAATCTGCCATCGTATGCTTGTTGATTTTCCTTACTGTTTGATATTGTTGATTACTGGGCTGAAGGTCAATATTATTTATTTCTATGAGTTGAGCATCATGATCGGATAAGCCATTTATAAAGGGTCCTACAGTATAGTCTCTTAATTTTGAGTTATCAATGAATATATTATCTATCGCTGAACTAGAATTATTTTGAACTCTTGTGGGAAAGTTAACAGTACTGGAGAGATTGTAAGATGATAACAAAGAGTCTAAATTTAGTTTCCTATTACTGTCGATGAGATAGTTTATATTTATATCACCACAAATTATAAATTCAACTTTTGAACTATGCAGTACATTTAGGATGGTTTCTAATCTATTTAAAAAGTGATTGAAGTTTCCAGATGGGGCTCTATATAAAGTCAGTATACAAATATTAGAAAAAGGAGAGTCTAACTTTAGAGCACATGCTTCCAGATCCTGGTCTTTGCAATAATCTTCTAAATTTATTTTAGTAAATTTTAGGTTTTCATGTACAAAAATACTCACTCCTCCTTTCTCCAGTGTTTTCCTACAGTATCTAGCACCTAAATTATAATTTTCTAAGTGAAGATGTTCTAATTCCAGCTGTTTCATGTGATGTTCAGTAAGGCACAGTATGTGTGGAAGATTTGAATTCATGGAGCTTATTAGTTCATTTGTTTTGTTTCTCAATCCTCTTATATTCTGATGGAATATTCTTAGTACTTTATTATTCACTGAATTTAGTAGACTGCAATTACCTTTTCTGATTTCTATTGGTTCACTTACATTATTGTCTGAAAGATTAGTTTCTTTTGCAATTTCTTTTACTTGATAAACTTTACTT